AAAGCCAAACAACAATATTTTAAAAATCAAATTATTTCAGCCAGTAAGAATCCAAAAATATTACGGGAAATGATGAAGTCAGTGACAGGTGAAAGTAACAATAAAACATTTAATAACAATTCACAAATCTCAGTAAAWGGACTTCTTGTTTCTGATCATGAAAAAATTGCTAACTTATTAATGAATATTTTATTTCTTCAGTAAGGACATCATTACTGGGACAAGCTAATAGTTTAAAGTTATTTAAATATCCTGACACTTCAAAGCAATTTTCATTTCTGAAATTTCACAGAGTGATGTTTTGAATACACTCCAATCTCTAAATGGCTCACATGCATTTGACAAATATAAGATAAATATGGATTTCTTGAAACTGCATGAGTTTTAAAACTTGATTCAGAGTGGTGGGTTAATTTAGGTTTAAATGTTTCTCAGGATCATCTGAGGTGTTACCTGGAGGATCAGCTGAAGTTTTGTGTCGGTGTCGTGATCTATTTCAGGAGTAGGAGTGTTGTTGTGGCTGGTTTTGTAGGTCAGGTGTGTTTTCATTGCTCTGAGCAGAATGACAGTCTGATGTGTCAGCTGGGGAACAATTACAATAAAGCACTTCATCAGCTGGAATTTTCTTTCTTTAATAACCTCAGAACCTGTTTATTGTCCATCACTGGAAGATGAGAAATGTMTTGATCTGTGTATTTCATTAACAAAGTGTACACAGCTCCTTTAATGRTCATTGTACTGAATAAAAACTCATTAAACTGGAAAATATAACAACTCTTAATTAAAAAAAAAAAAAGAAACATCTCAGAACGTGGCTTTTTATTTTCTTYGTGACAAACGTGTGTCCTGTGTGTCAGCTGTGTGATTCACTTTGAGTCAGTTCAGAGTTTTTACTGATTAACACAGCTGAAACGGTCCCACAGGTGTTGCTGTGTGGTCAGGTGTTTCACAGTAAGAGCATGTGTTTGTTTCTTTAATCAGATGAGAAACGTATCTAACATGTGAGTAACATCAGTCTGTGGGAACTCGATTCTTCTCCCAGTCCTCAGAGAAAACCCCTCCACTCTACTTCAGCCTAAATCAGCCCCTGTGAAACCTAAAATTAGCCCCACTTGGGCTTTTCCACCAACCGTTCCAGACTTTCCTAATGGCTGCAGCTAAGCTTTGTTTAGACAGTTTATCCCTCTGCGTCTGAGATCCACCGGAGAGGCACAGCTTTCCTCCAAAACCTCCCTTTTATGGCTGTTTTTTCTTTGCTCTGCTTTTTTAAAGTCACTCTGAGTTGTCCAGAAGAGAAGACAAAGATGTTTTCTTGTTTCCTACTCGCCCTGCTTCCAAAGGGCATCTAAAAGTCTGGACTTATTAAAGGATAAACTTTGCTTCAAGGAGGGAGTTTCAAACTAAAATGATTTTATGTTGAGAAACAACCGAGTGAGACGTTTATGGTCAAACCTTGAAAACAGTGTACCTGAAAGTGATACTTGAGTAAAAGTACAAGTATCTTATCATAAAATTACTTTGGTAAAAGTTTAAAGTCTCCTTTAAGAATATTACTTGAGGAAAAGTCTTAAAGTATCTGTTTTATTTTGTACTTAAGTATCAAATGTAAATTTCTGACATAAAATGTACTTAAGTAATAAAAGTACTGAGTAAAAATGAACGGTTAAATTTTCCTAAATACATTTACTGGGAGGTGATCTCTTCAAAAAATATTTTTTTCTAAAGGTGTGCAGCTGTGATGGATTATGTACAAACTAAATACAGCATCAGAACGGTATATATTTATACTTCTCATCCAACCACAGTTAAATTCACTCGATCCAGGAGCCAGAATTTATCAGGATGGTAGTATTTTTAACCAAAACAAGCCGAAATGATATAAGAGAAACAACTTTCTACTTCTTACCTTTTAAAAATATATAAGGAGTTGAAAGTACAGATAGTAGTGTAAAAATAT